GGGGGAGCACCACCCTGGAAGAAATGATAAACAAAGACGAGGATTTTGAATTGTGAGCGATAGGAAATCGGAAGCCAGTGCAGGGAGGCCATTACTGGACTGATGTGGTCCCGTTTCCTGGTCCCAGTCAGGAACCTGGCAGCGCTGTTCTGCACAACCTGTAGGCGACGCAGTGTTGACTGACACAACCCTGCATAGAGAGAGTTGCAGTAGTCAAGCCGAGAAATTACAAAGGCATGCAGTACCCGCTCCAGGTGGGCTCTCGACAGCATATGCTTGATTTTAGCAAGGCGTCTCAGGTGAAAGAAACTGGACCGGATCACAGAATTGATGTGAGCATCAAATTTAAGTCCTACATCAAGTTTCACCCCCAAACTGGTAACAACTGGTTTTGAGTATGGAGAAAGAGGGCCAAGATCAGCATAACGATCCACATTCCTGCTGTTGGGGTGAAAAACAATGAGCTCTGTCTTTCCCTCATTCAGATGTAGATAGTTGGACATTAGCCAAGACTTCACCTCATTAACACAGGAGACAAAGGACTGAATAGAGTGACCTTTCTCCTGACACAATGGAGAGTAAATCTGGCAATCGTCAGCATACAGATGGAATGATAGGCCATGTTTACGAAAGATTGACCCCAGAGGTAGCAGATAAATGGCAAACAAAAGTGGACCAAGGATCGACCCCTGCGGGACCCCCCAGCGGAGTCCCTCCCAAGAGCAAGAGGTAAAGTGATTAAATGTTTCTATAATTTGATCCTACATGCTGTATTGTACAGCTGTTCCTCTGAGTTGGTTATGTTATTTAACCCTTCTAGTGTCTCTAGTTTTTAGATTGCTTTCATCCTTAGCTTGAAAACTCACAAATGTAATAAAGTAGAGCTGGGATGTTTGTTCTCTCGGTGCGGGGACTCTTTCCGATGCCCACACAGTATAAAAATGCAAATGACGACTTTAGTCGTCATTGGCAGTTAATGAGTACATTTAGAAATATGTGTGTTACATTACTACACTATTACATAAAATTAATAATCTCAATATAACACATTTGTTCTCTAAATTGCAGCCCAGAATCCCAAACAAGTTGTCACCCGGTATGAGAGGATTTTGAGGCTGTTCAAAAGAGGAGGGGCCATGTCAGCTGCCTTTAGACATCTGGGAGTGGACCAGAACACAATTGTGGCAACTGCTTCAATTGCTGAGCTTTTCATTGTTGCACCTGATAGGTATAAAGAATTAGAAAAAACAAACAGGGAAAGAAACTGTCATTGTTTGCAACACAGTGTGCTGCAGCAATCAGTGCAGATCCAGAAATAGAGGACAGACATGAGTCCTATAAGTCTTCTGGGAAGTTGCTTCCTCTTTAAAAAAATACTAGATTTGTGTGGTTTTTTTACATTGTGAAATGTGGTGATAGGTCACCATTGTTAACTGCAAAAAGGGCCAGATTTAGTTATGCAGTCCAGTTGATTGGCAGATTGGTGTGATAAAAAAAAAAGACACACTCTATTTTGGTTTGTATGACTTTTATTTTTTTTACTGTTAGATTATATGTTTATTTTAATGATCACACATGTGATACACTTCATGTAAAGATATGCAGGTCATAAAAGTGTATCAAGCCTTGTTCTTTACTTCAAATACCGGCTCATAGTGGTTCAGCACAATGTTTTAGCAGTTGTGTGTCAGTATTTGTAAGCACTGTTCTGATGTTTTATAATTGGCATCTTAAAAATAAAGTGCTTTCTGTATCTGTGCTGTCCTTTATTTTTGTTACAATGTATTTAGAAAAACTTTCACTTTTATAAATAGGTTGTAAGGTATAAATAGTCTCCACTTTAGATGAGCTCACTCAAAGTACTTAACTAAGAAGTAGTAAATGGTTTGTAATGTTCTAAAGTAGTTTATTAATGTATTTATAATAATTGATAGATTATCTTTTGAAAAAGAAGTGAGTCGGTAGGGAGCTGCATCTTTGGAAGCCGTTAAGTGACAATTGTAAATGTATTGTAAGACATCTGATGTAGTCATGAGATTCAGTGTTTAGAGAACATCTAGTGAGACTCTAGTATGAGTAGTAAATGTTTAGTTTATAGTATTATATAGGGTATGTTAACTGTTTACTTACCCTTTACCAGTGGGGTTGTATAGTGTGATACATCATGAAAGGACTGGTTTGTAAATGATGGAGAGCAGAGTTTATAAATGATTAATTAATGACTTATAGATCATGAAGCATCATGAATAAAAAGTGTGACACAGTAGCTTCTTCATCATGAATAAAGCCTTTATAGTGGTGCTTGTAAGCTGTTATGTATTTATGATCATGTTTTTGTAGATGCTTTACAAATGATTAAATAACCATTTACCAATGCTTTACTGATGATTAACTAATGCTTAATAGTGTGCACTTATTATAAAGTGTTACCAAAGAGGCTACTCAATTACAGTAACGTGAGTAAATTGTCATGGTCTGTGTCTGCGTCTCCCTCATGTGTCTCCTTGTGTACTCCATTCCCCCCTAAGAACCCCCCTTATGTGTCTCTTTGTGTTCCTCATGTGTCCCCTGGTCTGCAGCTCTCCAGATATTCCCTCTCAGGTCCTGTGTTCCTTCAATCTCCCCCAGTCACCCCTCTGCAGTTTTTTATAGGTTCAGCTTCTCATTTTATTAGTCTCTTTAGTGTGTTTTTTCCACAGGTTTTTGTAGTTTCCCTTCCCCTAGAATATTAGTTTATTTTGCTGCTCATCTTGTCTTTAGGTTTTTTACTCTTACTCTTAGGTCATGTTAGTTTCCTCCCTGATTAGTTATTGGTTTCACCTGGTTCTCTCCACACACCTGCAGCCCATCTGCCTCCCATCATGCCCCAGTGTATATAAGCCCTGTCTTGTCTCAGTGTCTTGTCAGTCCAGTGTTGTTGTCAGCGTTGTTTTGGTGCTCTGTGTGAGCTTTGTGTCTCGTCCCAGGTTTTGTGCTCTAATGGGCCATTCCCATCTGTGCCGGGTAGCGTAGGTTGTTTACATATCTGGGTGGCCTGGTATTTTTCCGGGCCAACCAAGGCTCATTCTCAGCCCTCTTCTCGAGGGGGTCTGCTTCAGGCCGACCAGGGCCAACACACCCACTGCTCACAGCAAATTCACACCTTCCATTAGAGCAAGCCTCTGATTGGTGGGTAGAATCAGCCCACATGGGCTTAAGACAAGGATGTGTGGAATCAACCGGGCCAGGCTGGGGCCGACTGGGGCTACCCGGCCCGGGCCGACCCGGTACAGATGGGAATGGCCCATAAGTGAGCTTTAGTTCTGGTTCTCCAGGTTTTGTGCTCCATGTGAGCTTTCGGTGTCCTGGATTTCAGGACTTTTGGTTTTTGGCTTCCTGCCCTTCTTTGGATTTTTGTTCATCGTCCTAATAAAATAATTTTCTTTTAAAATGCTCCCGCCTCGTGTCGTCTGGGGTAATCTGCATCTTGGGTCCTTGGGTTTCTGATTTCATTGGATTTCACACATGGGGATTTTAAGATCTGAAATAAGTCATGAAATAATAAACATTTGTGCTGAATAATTAATTCATTATTAAATGACTTTAGATAGAACATTCATTTTAGATCATTTTAATTATAACCAACTTGTGAAGAATCATTTCACCCTCCGACTGTCTTCATGTGTGACCCCACGAGGAAAGTTGATCATTGATGTGCTCACTCCTGACCCCTCGCAGGGTCACGCCCATTAGGACAGTGGGAGGCTTAATGAGACAAAAGAAGATTCATTGTGTTAAAAATGGAAAAGTCTCTTTTTCGGCATGAGATCTTGAAGTTGCAGCAGGATGTCAGTAGTGGCAGAAGAGAAGTCAGGTGATGAGATTGTTGTAGCTGCCTTCTGGATGGTGCTGCTGGGGATGGTTAAGCATGGAATTGCTGTGATTCAGGGAAGAACACAACATTCCAAACAGAGGAAGGCTGCTGGACACCCGGCTGTCTATTTGACCTCTGGCACTGCTTTGGACAAATGCATTTGTTAGCCATTCCCAGCTTTACAGCTGTCATTGTCTGGGTGATGAAATATTATTTTTCTGTCACAGGCCATAGGGGTTGGGAATCCCTGCAGTAGATGAAGCTGTCTGACGCAGTAAGAACATCATTTATATCTGGGTTTGTGAATGTGCTGCATTTATTTAGTCATTGCTCTAAATTTACTTAATACCATCAGAAAATCACATTTTAGCAGAAGATTGTTGAGGCTGGATGGTGAAGCCAATGGTAGCTCAGTGGCCAAGCAGCAAGAAGGTTGCAGGTTCAAAACCTAGCTGCTGGCCCTTCTGCATGGAGTTAGCACCTTCTCTGCCATGCAAGTGTGGGTTCTTCCTAGGTTTCCTCACACAGAACAAAAACATGCACGCCAGGCTAACTGGAGGCATTAGTGAGTGTGAGACTGGTTGTGTGTCCCTGTGATGGACCTGTCCAGGGTACCCCCCGCCTCACGCCCGATGACTGCTGGAGCCCTCGTGATGGCTCAAGAGATAAATGATCATGTAAAGGCTCAAACATCCAGAGATCACATTTTAAAGGCAACAGCAGTTACTGATTGATGTCAGCAGAGGGCAGTGCTGTTCTGTTGTCATTTTTAAACAACTTCTCTGATTATCTTTGTAACGCAATGAAATGACTGTTTCCCCTCTCCTCTGACAGAGGACTAGTCTGCATGAGATATGGCCTCAAGGTCTCATGCATTTGTTATAAACTGCTTCTTTTCAGCTCAACAGAAGAATGAAGAATGGACTCTCTCCTTTTAATTAATCAAAGAACAAAGAGTGTTAGTCAATAAATAAGATGTGACCGATCAGTGAAATCAAAATATTAATTACTTTATTATAATCTTATAGAATATAAAGGTACTATGACTTTAAATGTCCAACAGGACTGATCTCACGTAGCGCTAAAATACATCACACATTACTTTACTGATCCAATCAGAATCTGCCAGATCTGACGGAGGCGTGGTTTTGGTGGTGTTTGGTAAATCTGTCATCTTTTCATTCGGCCATAAACCAAAACATCCGAAGTATAAAACTATGCCCACATCATCTTTAACGCCAGTTCAAAGCGTTATGGAGAGGTTGTCGGAGTGGCCAATCAGTAACTTTCCTCTTCATCCCAAAGAACCAACGACAAGCTGGATAAACCTGTTGCTGTTCCACCTGCTGCAACGGTTCCTTTCAGAATAAAAGCTGAACCATCAAGACCCAGTGTCACGGTCCGTGGTGAGCCTCCTGCATGTAACCTGTTTTCTCTGAGTATTGTTTCAGGTGGGCGTGTCTGAGAGCCACCAGCTGCAGCTGATCTCATCATCAAGGCCCAGGGGATTTAAGGAGCAGTGTGACACTTCACCACGCCGGATGATTGCTCAGTTTTGGGTAGCTCTAGCCTCTGACCCGTTTTTGATCTTGTGTTTCTCTAGTTCCAGTCTGTGTACCAGATCTTGTATATTAATTGCTGGATTTCCTGTCGACCAGAAAAGACCCTGACTACTCTTCCCTGCTCTACTCCAGGTTTCACTCCACACTCCACCACCTCCACACCAGCTCGGATTCCTGCACTTCAGATCACGCTGTCTCCTCCCCTGGCTGCCCGCTCTCAGCCGCTTACCTGCCCTCGCCAAGCCTCCGCTCCTACCTCCTCTCTGGTTCAACAGTTCCTTCTCCTCCTGGAGCCTTCCTGCTCACCCGGACCTGACCTAGCCCTTCCTGAGGCCCTCACCACTATCAGTAAGCTCCACTCCTAAGATTATCCTACGTCCTTCCCTCCATATACTCACTCTGTCTCCCTCCTCAGAATCCTCTCCTGGAGTCTTTCTGCCAGCCTGCACGTCGTCTGTTCCCGTTCCTCTCATTAAATAATAAAGAACGTTCTACTTACTTGCCAGTTCTTGTGATGATTCTGCATGTCGTGGGTCAGGAAACTCTCACCCAACATGACACCCAGGTTTGGGTCTCACCAGACGCCAACAAACTGTCGTGACCCGGAAGTATCTCAAGACTGGTGGTCGGCGGCCGTGGCGGTTCTACAGGCTTCGGCTCCAGAAAGGTCCAAGCTGGACCCCTACACCTCCTGATCGAGACGGGGACTTCCGCTAAGGGTACGTAGACCAACAGAATGGCGTCTCAATGTGTGTTTATGAATCTCCTAATCAAAGCTTAGCGTGAAAACATCATCTTCACTCCCATCAGAACTAATCGTTTCTTTGGATTTGCTGGTTCTGAGCAACATTGCACCTCACCCCATTCACTGTCTCATTCACCTTAGTTACACCATACATTTAGTGTTAAAGTTAGTCTAGTTTAATCTGTTTAGTAATAAATCTTTAAACTTTTAAACTTGACTCTCTCTTCTGTTGTCTCTGAGTGAATATGAAGCTGTCATCTAATCCCTGCATTGAAAAGTTCCAATCTTCTGGTTTAAAATAACCCAACAGATTAATTAGGTGGATTTCATATTTCCTATGGAATCCTACGCCTCATGGCTCATTAACTAACATGTAATTTAAATCATTACTTCTTGTTTGTAACATCATTAAAACACATCTAATTAAGATCGGTGACATAAGGAGAACATGGGACACTTGTCCTCTCTTGGGTGTCCTGTTATGATGTCCTGATGTCTAAATGTGTTTTTTCAGAGGAAGTACAGCCATGGCTGGAGGCGGCACACCGCAGAGTTCAATATGACAAAATAATTTCTGAGTTTTCTTTTATTAATTTAGGTTTAAATGTGAATATTAGCATTTTTCTAGATTAAAGTCATTAATCTAAGAAGAAGAAAATGTAATTTCTATGGCGCCTCTCAAGATAAAAATCACGAGGTGCTTCACAAAAACAAAAAATATAAAAAAGCATTTAGAAAATGTTTAAAAATATATTTAAAATGAGCAAAAATAGGCAATTGTGATTTAAAAGAAAAAATGTTAAGAAAGAGAGAGTGAACAGGAAAGAGGGAAATCAGTGGATCCTGAGGAAGGTGGAATAGGTGGGGAGAGCAGAATAAAGAGAGAGAGGTGAAGAAGGTCATACAAAAGCCAGCTTGAACAAGTGAGTCTTCAGCTGCTTTTTAAAGGAGACCACTGAGTCCACTGATCTCAGGCTCAGGGGGAGAGAGGTCCAGAGTCTGGGGGCCACAGCAGCAGATGATCTGTCACCTTTGGTCTTTAGCCTGGTGCTGCACAACCAGTAGGCTTTGATCACTGGACCTCAGGGACCTGCTGGGGGTGTAGGGACTCAAGCCGGGCGTACACTCTATGACTTTTTCACTTTTTTGAGCCAATTTTCCACTCGTGTGAGAATCCACGAGATCGGGGCGAGTTTTGCGCCGAGCGTCGTGTACAGCGGGTTACGAGAGGCGATTAACACCACGTGACCAGCTACCGATCAGCAATCGTGAGCTCGCACAAACTTCTGGCGTGTTTGAAATTTTGATCATCCCTCAAAGTCATTTATTGTCGTTTCTACCACATGTGCAAGACATACAGAGAAATGAAATTGAGTTTCAGTACACACAATTCAGAGATCAGACATACATGGGAAAGACACATGACAAGAGTTGGTGACTGCGGTCATTCGCAACACGAGTCGCGCTACCTTAATAGATGAAAAGGGAATTACATGAGGATAGGTTGGGGGAGGGAAAAAAGGCATACCAGAGTTACTCCCGACAGGGCGTAGCTGTACTATGCAAAAAAAAAAACACCTCAACATAGAAGCACGAACTTCAACATTCACAACATGAGACTCCGATAGGGAGGCCGGGGGGGGGGATCCTGTTTATCCGGGGCCAGCAGCCATGTGTGGCACTCAGCCAGCTGTGTCCACAGGAGGGAGAGAGATCTTGGGAGGAGCACAGAGCACACTGGAGTTCCTGCAGGTTGATGGCCTCGCAATGAAATCCACAATCTGAAGGCGGGGGGTAGGACGGGTTTCCACAGCATCTGTCTGCATTCCTTCCTTCGTGGGGGTTGTTGTTAGCAGCTTCAAGGCTGCCTTGGCATCAGATTAGCATAACAAGACTGTATTTGGGTCAGGCAGAGATAATTTCCCCCTCTGCCTTCAGTCTGTAACTGGTCATTCCAGTCCTTCAGTGAAGCCAATTCGGGTTATTAAACATCTCCACACCGTCCGGTGACCCTCTCCGAGATGACATCCATTTTGCGCACTAACACCGGTAACGCAGCTAAGACATTGTCCAGCTTGCGATTCACCTCGAGTAACGTCCCAGCCTGTGAGGTCTCCACCCAGACGGTGCTGTCCATGGGTGTGGGTCGCCCTTCAATCGCTCTCGTCTTCCCAATTTTCCATAAAACCAGATATCCTCCCATTCCAATCAGAAGAAATCCAGTGATTATCAGGCCAAATGTCCACATATCTTCGACGTCCTCAATGGACAACTGAGAGAGACATACGACCTTCCACTCCTTCCAGGAGTCGAGCATATATCCCGCTGCTTGTGTCTTGTGAGGGTATCGCACTGTTGAAGCGGTGCTGCGAGCAGCTGCGACCCAAAAGGTACCAGAACCACTCACAACGCATGTGCAATCATGCATCAACACCGCTCACCCGCTATTTCCCTAATAACACACGTTGTTCATTTTTATTTCTGAAATTTTTTTACTCACAAAGATTGTCAAGAAAATGTGTTTGTGGTGTTCATGTCAAATTAAACTGATCATAAAACACAGATTTACTTTCTTTATTTCGTTTTCCTCATCCAACCCCCATAAATCCCTGTGTGTCCTCCTGCAGCACTCCCGAAGGACAACAGGCAAAACAAGACACAAAAGTCTGACGTGTTGGTAAAAACTGCTATTTTTAGCATATTTTTAGGTCCGACGTGTTGCTACCAGACGTACAGCGTGAGCAGTCAGGTCGCATCCGAGAACTGGGTCGTACAGTGTGAGCGCATGACTCGTGAGATCTGCCCTGCGAGGAAGTTGTACAGTTTGAGCTGAAGCTGAGTGCTACGAGTGAAAAAGTCGCACAGTGTCCGCCCAGCTTTAGAAGATCACCAATGTAAGATGGTGCTTGTCCATGTAAGGCCCTATAGACCAGAACCAGGATCTTGAAATGAACCCTGAAGTTGACTGGCAGCCAGTGAAGCTGGAGGAGAAGCGGGGTGATGTGGGGGTGTTTGGAGGACTTGGTCAGAAGCCGAGCACAGGCGTTCTGAACCACCTGTAGACGGTTCAGGGAGGTTCTGCTCAGACACGTGAAAAGAGAGTTGCAGTAGTCTAAGCAAACATCTAAATGATAAACATGTTTAATTGAGAAGGATGTGAAACTTGTAAATATGGAACATATTAAAAAATACTCAGAACCTAAAATACTTTATTAATCCCAGAAAGAAAGAAAAAAATGGCTCAAATAATCCCAGTAATGTAGCGCCTGACCCCATAACTCCCTCTGGCTCTTTTCGGTGTAAGCTCCTGGTCTTCCTGATGTTCTGCAGTTTCATAGAAACCTGGATTTGCTTTGAAAACAACGGGCAGGGGGCGTTTTGTAATCAGATCTGACCTCCAGGTCCGTCTGCCACACCTGCAGTCTAGCGGATCAGAACCAGAACATTGTCACACATCCGACTCTTCTGTTGTAGAATCAGAAACTTTCCTCATTTAAGATTTGGATGTTTCTTCTTGCTGGGATGGGTTAGGGTTCACATCTGGTTGCTGACAGGGTGAGCTGGGCCTCCCATCCACTGTAGAGCCTTTCTTCATGAAGCAGTTTACAGGCATGAAGCAGGCCACCTAAGGGCTGAACAGCAGTCCAATAAAACGGTAAAAATTACAGATTCTAAAATCTATATAATTCAAATCAAAAGGGAAATAAAATGTCTTTTTTTGTATCTTTTTCAATGTTTATTTCATTTTTTATTCTGTTATTATTTTATGCGAGGGATTTTTCTGTAACACTTCACAGTAAGACTCCCTTTACTGATGATAGTTAGGGCTTTATTAGGCATTAATAAACTACTAAACAAAGTATTAACAACTGCTCAGGTAATGCATTAGACCCCCACCCCTGCTGAACCTTTGTCCTAACCAAGGACACTTAATAGTTAATATGAGGCACATGAATGGAGACAGCCTTATTGCTTAATGCTGTAAGTGATGTTAACAAAGGGACTCATAGTTTATGTGAAGGTTTGTTTTTACTGCTATGTTGTTGAAGTGTGTGCCTCGGACCAAATAAACAAGATACTGGTCAGTAATAGAGAGCTAACATCTTATAATCAAGCAGAGGACAGAAAACAGACGTGAAATGATGGTGACGTCTGATACGTAGCAAAGACAAATGAAACGTGGAAACATGATGATCCTCCTTGTTCAGTGAGTTAACTTCACCTCAGGAATCACGCGTACCTCGAAGATAAGTAAACGTTAAATAACCAAAAACCAGAGAAGTCAGTTCTCTTTTCTGTTGTGTTTTTATTCAGTCAAACATTTCATTATTCAGGTTACATGAGCGTTCGATTCCTTCCTCCAGAAGATTTGGATTTAACACAGAAGGATGGATTCAGCGCTACAAACCAGCTTACAAACCAGTTTAATTTTTAACTTATTAAAAAAATAATTTACTGTAACAATAACAATATTAGCTCTGAAACAAAGGTCTGTCCTACAGTAATGATCTGCCAGAGTGGTGATGCTGGGATGTTCTCTCAGCTAAAGCCTGACCTGTGCCGCCCTCTGCTGGAACACTCCAAGAATCGGTCCAAATTCTGGATAAACAACTGGCATCAGCAGAAACTAGAATCTCGAGTGTTTCACCTGTAGCAGAAACAGGAGCTTAAGACTTGCTCAGTTTTACTAGTCGATTTATGTTTATGTTTATTTAGCAGACACTTTTATCCAAAGCTACTTACAGTTTATAAC